GCCTTGGTAATGTGGAATCAGGTGGCTGCCTGTCTGCAGTGGGGTGATTCGGTGTCTTCCGCGTGACTCAGGACCTCGGTAGGGCGTGCACAGACCTGCCTGTCTGCAGCGGGCTGATTCGGCGTCTTCCGCGTGACTCAGGACCTCGGTAGGGCGTGCACAGACCTGCCTGTCTGCAGCGGGCTGATTCGGCGTCTTCCGTGTGACCACTTGTCCTAATCTTACTGATCATAGTTTTGTCCACCTTATGATTTCCCATTGGATCAATATTATCTAAGCAACTGTACTTGTAATCTTACTGGTTGACTCTAGTTTTGTCCCACATCGAAACTGCCTCATCTCGTGGCTTTGTTCCATAAAACACCTTGGAGATGCAGAGTGAGCAGGCAACCCATTTTCTGGTCTCCCTACTGTCGCTCTTATACAGAAACTATCTTTCTCTCAAATTTTCCTACTCTCTTTTTTTTTTTTTTGGTACTGGGTAATGAACTCAGAACCTTGCACTTTTGAGGCAGGCAGCGGCACCACTGAACTAAATCCCAGCCCCAAATTTTTCTACTTTTAACCTCTGTTGTTCCTAGAATTCATTCTTCGATTTTAGAGAACACGAACTCCCATGTTAGATATCTAGCAGGTTTAGGAATTGCATCTATTCCCCCTATATTACTACCACACACAACAAAATATTTTGATGACTGAGTTTTCCTAGATCTCCTTAAATATTGCACCAGAGGTAAAATGTAAGAGCCCTGTGTATTCCCCACCCCTTTTCCTCCTTTGTAATCCTTTTGGTTATTTATCACTTAAAAAGTTCTTAGCCTTTTGACAATATCTCTTCTCTGTTTCATCAGATATATATGTATGTACCGGGGATCGAACTCAGGACCTTCCACTTTTGAGGCAGGCGGTGGCACCACTGAGCTAAATCTCCAGCCCTCACTTACAGAAATTTGAACTTTCTGCTGTTCTGTTTCATACCTTTAACGTTTTTGTTTTTATGGTACTGGGGATCGAACTTGGGACCTTGTGCTTGCAAGGCAGGCGGTGGCACCACTGAGCTAAATCCCCAGCCCCCATACCTATAAAGTTTAAAGGTAAAACCGTTAAGCTTTCCTGTCTTGACCATTTCATAATTCCACGAATGCTATCTCCTTATCAGCCTTACCCTACCTAGCTCCTGCCAAAGCTCTAGCTCCGAGGAAGCAAACTGATTACTTCCCCACTACCTGTCCCTGAGGAGCAGGCGTGACTCAGGGCATTAACATAGGCAAGTGCCTTCTATGCCCCCCCCCCCCCCGCCAAGTGCTGACTCTGAACCTCGAAAAAGGAGAAAGGGCCAGGGGTTTAACTAAGTGGCGATGTGCCTGTCTCGAAAGCATAAGGTGCCGAGTTCGATCCCTGGTGAAAGAGAGAGCGCGGGAGGGAGAGAAGGAGAGAGAGAGGGAGGGAGGGAGGGGAGGGGAGAGAGGGAGAAGG